GTGGGCATCGAACGAGGTGGGGTTGTGTAGTTGAGGAGACATAGAGTGTGAACGTGAAGGATGGGACAAAGCTTTCCGCGCTGATAGTCAGTCACTCTCCTAACTTTGGCGATCGGAATTGAGGCCCGCAGAACCAAGACATTTTGGGGTATATGAACCCAAAAGGAAAATTGGAGGAAGAATATCTAGTCTAGGCGGCAGATACGTTATTATATTGTGCCTACTTGGAAAAGGAAAAGCCTTACATGTTCATGAATTGACGAACCGTGCAGGCTCATCGATCATTCATTTAGTTCCGCGGCAATTCAGTTCGATCGTGGCACGCCTGCTAGAGACTGCTTGGCATGCCGTCCTCTGTGAGGTCCATTTAGCTCCGCTGCCAGCCCACATCCAGTCTTTGGCAGTGGAGAGTTGCGCGCAGCGAAGAATCGCGACTCTTTCAATAACTTGAACTACTGATTGTGTTGCCGGATGAGAGAAGACTAGCGCTTCATCGAAAAAGACTCGAAGAAACGAACCCGCAAGAGCACAAAGTTTCCATGTTTCCACCAAGCGGTCCAAGCCCGATTAAACTTGATGGAGGACATATCAAAGTCGGACGATAGATCTATTGGGAGAGAAGAGTCATCAGCAAACCCTGGTTTCCGCCGTGTCCTTACGTAGCAATACACATACGTATCTCAAAGCCGGATACGTATTCCTATGTATTGACCTTCATACGATCATGCTCAGTGATGGATCGATTCGCGTCAAGCCATCGGCCGAGTGTGGGAGCCTTCCACCTCGGATTTCTCCAAAATTTGGCGTAAACGAAGTCATATATATCAATCTCATGGTTGAATATTTTCAGAGCGAGGCATGCGGTGTGGAGGATGCCATGAGCCTGAGAGGCCTGTACCTTTGCAAAATTGATGGCCCGCCAAATTCTCGATTTTCCTGTGGGTTCAAATGCTGCTGCTCGCCTCCAGAAATATCTAGAACAGTCAAAGGATTATACATTTCTCACTACTTTTTTTTTTACAGCACAATTGACGCAAAATTGAGACCGTTAGATCAAAATTTTGCAAAGTACCGCAATTTGCAAAGTTAAGCGCCTACCCAAATACACGTACGAAGTCTTTTCACATTACTCTACGCGTCCGTTATTCAGGCCCGCAGGATACAGATAGAGCACAATAGGGTGATCCTTATTAATCTCATTTACTTCATGTTCAATTCTGGAGGCCAGGGTTCTGGCTGCATCTCATTTACCCCACTGGTATTTTTATCTTTTTATTACTGAATGTGCAGGGGAGATGCGTGCGGGGGTACTCAGGTTGTGAAATGGTCAAAGGGAAATAATATCCGTATGTGGCACGGGACCCAGCTGTTTCTTACTAACGGGACCGCGCCGGTATGCACTTCCTTCTTTCCTTCCCCTTCGACAGTATCTGCTCTCGGAAGAGTGTGTCTGCGTTGCAATTTCAGACTTAGGAAGGACACATGGCGATATGGCCGCTTCCACCGCCACTCCAACAGATAGAAGGGCTGTTGGAAAGGCTCCTGCTTTACTGCTCGCCAATTCCCAAGGCGCCATAGAGGCAGACGGCGAATCTATCAGGGTATTCCTTTTAAGCCACTATTGTAATCAACCGTCTCCCCCCGCCATATTCTTGTGTTCACCGTTGGTTGCTAGATTTTAACATAGGTCACGTGATTTTGGTTCAAAACTATCAACACGACGCCCAAGTACTCGTCGAGCGAGGCACACGAGCCAAAAAAACAAAACAATAAGGAGCCCCTCTAGAGAGACCAAGTACTATATATACATACCTATTTCATCCAACTTCCCGAAGACCCCCGAAAACATTATATCTGACAAGTAAACTCCAGCAGTGATCCTTCACCCACGGTCGCGCTCCCTTCTTCCTTGGATTGTAAACTAGACTCCGTGCCCATAGATGTCGTGGCACCAGAGAACCAAGTGTTGTCGCTCAAGGTAACATGTATACGAGTAGGATCGGCTGGGTCGGACTGTGGTTCTGAACGAGGCCGGAGCGCGTGTAGAGCGCGCAAAAATGACTTTGCAGTGTCAGCCGCAGCAGAATGGGAAGTTAAATCGACGCACAGGATCCGTAGCGGCCAGTGTGGCGTACACCAGCGGTCGGAGGACATATATTAACAAATCTGGGTAGATTTGAATAACATGCTGATGCGTTAAAAGCGGGACTCACCAACTATGGCCAACCTCCAATTCTATCAGGGAACCATCAGGGAAATCTTCCAGGAAAATCGAACGACGGCGTACCGTTTCGGTCCAAGTCGGGTAGAGTATTATATGAAGGTCGAGCATGGCACCGGAAATGTTCAAAAAACAGGAAACGAGCGGATACAGCCCTGGGTGGAATCAGCGAATAGGTTGTAAGTAATCTGGGAAAGAGCCTACCGATTCGTAGTATCATCTTGCGATACAGAAGAATGGGTGGTTTCGGTAGTGGTGGCTGGGACAAGGTCGACAAGGTGGATTCAGACATGACGGAACGCACGCGGTGGCGGAAAATCTGGCGCGATATGGAGATCAAGCGATTCGTTTCGGGGAAATGAGTACATACCATAAACCCCACAATGGAGAAGAATGATATAACCTCACAGGTTGCCATAAGGATCAACCAGAATGCCTGTGTTCCAACGAACCACCGCAACTGCACTGTAGAAGTGGGACTGTTGAACCAACATGTCTGATTGAACTCCCAAAAGCTATGACAGAGTCATAAAGCGCGACTCAGAGATACTGGTTTCGAGAAATACGAACCCAAATGCACCGACGGCGTACGGCGGAACGTTGCACGCTAAAGTCAACAAGACGGCTCCTAAGACATAATATTTCTCCATCTTCTGGCCATTCACGCCGTGTACCAGCACCAGTCTATTGAATTGTCACTGGATTAGCAATTAAACCGTCGAAAGAATTCGTCACCTACTGCAGATTGAGAGCCATGGAAAAGAACATGACCCCCGCGAACGTGAGGCACATCTGTACAACCGACAACATGTTAGTTTCAGGTCGTCGGTCGATTAGCTGAACATACATTTTGGAGAAACACAATCCCATTGCACGCGGCACCGGCCTTGAGATTCATACCACCAATCATCCCCACTCCATAAGCGAGGCTGTAATTTCCGTCAGCGGTAGGCGAGAGGAAGAATGCAGTAGAATTACTTGGCCACCAGAGCATACACGAGGAGCCGAAAGCTGACGCGGTTGAGATGGGGTCGGGACACAGGGTTCCACGCTGTCCATGCATACGCACCCAATATCAACATAGTGAATACAATTGACGGGATGGAAAAACCCGTGACAAGGTCGCTGAAGAGAAATGGTGAAATGTGGCTGCAGGACGGGGAGGGACGTCTTACGATATGTGGGCATCGAACGGGATGGGGGTGTGCAGTCGGGGAGACATGAAGGCAGAAGGGAAGGAGTGAATGAGTGAGACAAAGCTCTCCGCGTCGACAGTCAGCTAGTCCTCCAACTTTTTGAATCCAGACCTACAGAACCAAGAAATTTCCGGTAGGTGAACTCGCAGGAGGGACCGACCCAAAATCGGAGGAAGAAACATTGACGCAGGGCGGTAGATGCGTCATTATATTGTGCCTGCTTGGAAAAAAATCCATGTGGTGAACCAGGGGAACCAAGGGTCGATCATACTTTTAGTTCCGCGGCAAATTCATTTCGATCGCGGTGTAATGGAGAAGTCTGACGAGCCACGCGATCCGCGCCGTCATATCGAGCGAAATCCAACCTACGATGGACTGTGGTATACCGACTCGGCATTACCGATCTCTGTACGTGAGAATCGAGCTGAGTTGCAAGAAATCGGTCTCGATCAAACCTTCATCGGAAATTTTCAGTTCAATTGCACTCTCGGAAAATGAGTGTCTGCATTAGATAGGAGACTGCTCCAACTTGACAGAGTGTCGGCCCTGTGGCGTACTTTGTTGCCACGCACCGAGTGTTGACTAGTGGTGAGTTGATTGGTACAACTCCGATCAAATCTCGCTTTCATTTGGGGCAAGTGGGGTACTTGTTCGGTTTCGGCGCGCCTCAACTTTCAAGCCTCAGCTAGAAAACTGTTGACAGCGAATATTCGCGGTGGAAAATCGAGTTGTGAGTGGTTGGAGGCAGAAAATGTAGAAATTATGAAGGTGAGTACGAAGAAAACGTATAAAAACCATACTTCGGCTTTGTGATGGTGACTCCTGTTCCATAACCTCCGGTTCACAAAACACGAAGAGATACGAAACTGCCTATGGAATCTGACATAGAGGATCCCATACAAAATTTGACAAGGAAGAGGAGCAGGGTGAAAAACCAAACCAGATTGCACTGTGATCGACCAACAAAAATACATGTAGAATACATCCCGTAGGTAGAACAGCTTCTAGATGAAATAAGAGGTCCAGTCACCGACCTTCACACCATACAGACTGGTTGAGAATATGGAAACTCAAAAAATGAAATGCATGACCACGCACGGGCTTACCGCCAAAAATCAACACTGACAACAAAAGTCCGCTTGAATGTTTTGAAGCAGTAAGACTCTCGGTTTACGCATTTTGCGAGTCAGAGAAATAGTTTGACATTCAATTGGGCTTCCCGCGTCACGCCTTCCCGGGCAACCAAAAAATATTCCCCAATACAGAGGTTTTTGCAACAAGCTGAAAATCCAAACCTCCGAAATGGCCCACATGACATGAATATTAATACCCTGATATTGCGGTGGATGTTTTCCCAAACTCACTTGAAAACCCGCCAAGAAGCACAGAGTTGCTTTGGTGTGCGGCGCAAGCTGCCACAGTGAACCCATGTTGACTCCGTGATGACCGAGATGTACCAATTCACTACGCACTCAGAGGATATGTCAAGGCTGTCGAAGAAAGCTCAAGCCCATCAAACAATCAAAAAAAAGAGGTTGCGATCTCTGAACCGTGATGAACCTCCAAACTTCCCCCATCTCATCGGTTCTATGGTGTAGTTGGTTATCACTTCTGTCTAACACAAACCCTGTGTAACACAGGCGGTCCTCAGTTCGAACCTGGGTGGAATCAGTTTTTGCTCCTCTGTTCACCGGAACACCTTAATCTGATTATCTCGAAGAATCAGCGTGGGAGAGTTTTTGCGGGTTTCAAAGCTGTTGTGAGACCTTCTTTCCTCTGAAATCCGCCCAGTAAATGTTTTCCTGAGGAGCACAAAGTACAGCGTACTCCCAGAAGGCGTAGAGGAAAGATTGAGGGCAGAAATGTGTCACCTTCCTATTTGGGACGTTGGCGTTGAGCCACCTTCCCTTTTGGGACGCCAAAAACAAGTCAACGAGTAGACACTGTGTTCCCTATGTTCCCATTTCCACTCTCGCCGTCAGAGCGACGCCCTTCCTCAAGTTCCAAATTCACCAGTAGCAGTGGTTCCACGCCCTGGCGGGGAGACGCAAGAAGTAACGTGTTTTCTACCCGGTATCGCATATGCAGCAGTCATACAACATGTCCGAATCTCGACATCCAGTGTATGTACGAGAAGCCCAACGCATGTCCCCCAATAAAAAGTAACTAAATAATAAAAGAAGACGATGATGGAGCAACAGCAGCAAAAATATATCCTACACGCGCGCGCCAGGGTCAAGTTCTATCCACAAAGTAATGCCGCACCGCACCAACGCGCTAACGAGGAACAGCACGCTCAGGCCCCACCGCGCTTCTTCTGCCTGCGCGGCGTGGTCGCGGTGTTCCCGCCGTAAGGGTATTTTGGTTTTTTCTCAGCTGGCTTGAGAATCTATCAAGTGTCGCACTCAGAATGGAAGAGCAACGATAGCGGGAAGCGGCGCACCTGGAACGAACACAGCAATGACTCGTCCACACTCATCATTGCGCCCGCGTTGTCAAACTCGCCACAGTAGTTGGGCGCGGAAAACAACGTCACCAGATGCCGCTTAGCGAAGAACTCGTACCCGTCTTCGACGACCTGGGCGGTATTTTAGCCGTTGGTACACGGCACATCACCGCGGAGTCGACGCACCTGATGGCCTCGACATATGAGATCCATGTCGTGTTTTTGAAGGAAGCGCGCGACAACGTCCGGACCAAAGGTGAAGGACACGCCACGGTCGTTTTCTGACCAGCCGGTGATATCTTTGTCGGGGTCGGACCATAGGAGGTCGGAGAGGAGCCCTGGGCAGATTATCTCAGCACACGATAAAGGAGAGATACAGCATCACTGACCCGTGTCGGGCACGTCCGTCGGCCTCATAACACGCCGTATCTGCTCCATCGACTGCAGGTCCGGACTCAGCCCACCGTGCATCGTGAATATCTTCTCGTCGATGATGGCCGCAATGGGCAGGCAATTGAAGCAGTCGGTGAACGTCTTCCACAACTTTATGTTGTACCGCCGCTTGCCTGGCACCCACGTAAGTTCCGTCGGCAAAGAAAAAACGCCAGCACGCACATTCATCGTAAAACCCGTAAATCCGGTTGATGCATGCACACTCGTGGTTTCCGCGCAGGATGAAAAAATTCTCGGGGTACTTGATCTTGTACGCCAGCAGCAAGCAAATCGTCTCGAGCGACTGCTTCCCGCGGTCAACGTAGTCGCCGAGGAAGAGATAGTTCGCCTCGGGCGGGAAGCCCCCGTACTCGAACAACCTCAGCAGGTCGTAGTACTGCCCATGGATATCCCCTGCGCCGGCGTGTCAGCAATCATCTCATCCAAACGCGCACACGACGCACCACATATCTTGATCGGCGCCTCGAGCTCGAGCAAGATGGGCTGGTTGATGAATATCTCGCGGGCCTTGGTGCAGAGATACTTGATTTCGTACTCCTGGAGTTGGACGGGCTTGCCTGGGCGGTTGCCTCGCACTGAACAACCGCGTCAGCTCGGCGTGGCGCGGATGAATGCGGGCTCGCAGACCTTCAAGCAGCTTGTCAATGACCGAGTCGAGGTCAATCTCTATTGCTGAATCCGCCATGACGAAAAACGACAAGAAACGAGCGCAATTAACTGGGCTTTATAAAAGCTGTATACGGGGTATCCGACAAGGTGGGTATCGCGATAAAGGGGATCCAAAGTAAAGCAGAGTTTTTTGTGGGCGACGTTACAAGGTAAGCAGGAGTGATACCTCCGGCGAGTAGAAGGCGGGCTGGGAGAAAAGATGTGGAGGGAGATGACTCAAGAGATAGCCTTCACTCGCATGGTGCCTGTCATCACAAAAGCGATTGTGTCACGTGCAATTAGCTATAATTAATTTCATGAGCGCGCTACTTTGTACAGCTCTACAACTGTGTACAGCTCTACAAAACAGTGCCTATTCGTGTGTTTGTGCAGTAGAATTAGTTCAGACCATGCACTAGAAATATGTAAAGAATGAAAGAAAAAATCAGCCAGCTCCGCGCGCCGCAGGCGGATCAGTAGTATTAGTAGCTTCGGCACCATTCGCAGGCCGCGGACGGCGCCTCCTTCGCCTGCGGACGAGTCAGCAACACGCATTGGTACAAAGACCGAGGGACCCACCTGGGAAACAATGGCCCCTTGGGCATGATCCGCTCATCCAGATCCAGCGCGATATTAGTCGCGCTGTGGAATCCCTATAAATATGGTTACGATTAGCCTACCCGGCGCCTGCACCCGAGAAATGAACACCGCTATGCTTACCTCAATCCAGTCCACAACATCCCCCACGTCCCGCGCTTGCAGCAAAAACTGCTCCCCCTCGAGCCGCACGCGGATGACGTGCTTCCGCTTCACGTAGTCGTTTCCCAGCCCGCTCTCGGCGTGCTGTAGCGTGTACGCGCGGATGAGATCCCCGGGGTCAAGCTCCGGCACGTCCGTCCCCGCCGCGTCCGCGCCCCCCACGCTCGCCGTCGACTTCTGCTTCCCCTTGCTGTTCCCGCTCGAGGATGTCACCGGTGTGCGTGAGCTGAGCACCCCCGAGCGTGCCGACGCGAGGCTCACGTTCGACCGCGACGGCGTGAGCGCCGCACCGAGCGTACTCGGGCCTGCACTCCCGCTCCCACTGCTGCCCGAACTCCCGCCAAACGACGGCCGCGGGATGGACAGCGACGCCCGGGACGGCGAATTCGGGCTTTTAGGTGGGTTCGGCATATCGCTCTTCGACCGCCCGTGCGAGCGCGGTTTGAGCAGGCTGAGACCGAGGTTCAAGCGCGATCGGCTGGCGCTGGATGATGCCATCGAGGCGACGTCCCTGTTGCTCTCTGTCGGCGAAGACGAAGGCGAGGATGGTGTCGTGGCGATCGACGACGCGCGGCTGCGCGCAGACGACATACTCGACCGCGGCGGCACGATCACCTCTGTCGTCCCCTCGCCCTCCCCGCCCTCAATCACCGGTATCCGCCCCTCCTCTCCCGCAATCTTATTCACCGCCTGCCCCTCCTTCGCCGCCGCCGCCGCCGCCCGTGCCTTCACCGCCGCCGCCGCACTCGTCACCGCACTCGCCGCCGCCGCATCCCCGACCCCCACGCGCCGCTCCCACCACCCCTCCCCAGCACACCGATAAACCCGAAACACCGTCCCCTCCAGCTCGCACACCACCCTCCGCCACTTCCGATCCCGCGCCTGCACCCCCGGCGCGCTAAACTCCATCTTCCGCGGCATCACGCCCCTCAGCAAGATCTCGTTGCTGTACTTCGGCAGCACCTCGCGCCCCTCGTCGTCGCGCGGCACAATGCGCGCCTGGGCGAGCGGGTGCCCGTCGGTCTTGGCGCCGAGGTTGAAGAACGGCGAGGGGAAGAGCGGCATGGTGTACGGCGGGGGCGCAGCCATGATCTCCGGCATCGAGCGGCGACGCTTGACGGTGCCCGCGCGCTGCGGCGGGCCATCGTACGCCGGCGCCTCCCCGCGCTGTGCGTCCGACGGCTCCTTCCCCTTGCCCTTCCCAGAAACCTCATCCACCGGCTCGACCTCGTCCTCCTCGGGGTCGGCCACAGAAATCGGCGTCTGCAGGATATCCACCATGCTCCGCGACGCGTGCTTGTACATCCCCGGCCGCTCTGGCGCAGGCAGCGGCGGCATCGCGCGCACCCCAGGCGACACCGGCATCGTCTGCATGCGCGGCGTGCCCCCGCCCTCGCTCGTCGGCGTGCGCACCGAGAAGTAGTCCGTCCACGCGGCGTGCGCGGTCGGTGTCTTGCCAACGCTGCTGCCCTGCGAGACCTGCTGGCGGAGCGGTTGCGCGTGGATCGCACGGGTCGTCCCGGAGTCATCGACCGTGGCGGCGCGCTCCCTGCCCTTCCCCTTCTTATCCCTACCCAGCATCCCCGCAATATCGAGCGAAAGCGACAGCGGCGCCAGCGGGACGAACGGCGACTCCCCCTCCCTGCTTTCCCTACCTGCATTGTCGTCCTCCCCATCCTGCGCCTGCTCGTCCCCATCCATATCCATGTCCCCCTCCCCATCCCCATCCTCCTCATCGCTCTCCCCCGCAGCAACCTCCACCGCCCCCGCCCCCTCCATCGCCAGCGCGGGCATACTCCGCACCACACTCCGGCTCGCCTCCCTCCCATGCGGCCCAAATATCACGCTCGAGCGCCTCCCAACACTCCCCTGCTCCTCGCCCCCACCATTCCCACTCCCGCCACCCCCGCTTCCACCTGCAACTGCACCGCCCGCACCACCACTCCCACTTGCGGCGGCGGGGAGCGCCGGGGCGGACAAATCCGGCAGCGCAGGGAACGCAGGCAGGCGCTGCCACACCGGGCTGATGATGCTCGGGCTCAGGCGCCCCATCTCGTTCGCTCCGGCGCCGTTTCCGATGAAGCCCATCCCCAACCCCGTCCCGCCTGGGCTGATCTGCCCCGCCGCATTAAACGACATGCTGTACCGCCCGTTGAGCGACATCGGGATGCTGGGCGGGCGGCGGCTCGGGAGGGTGCCGGTGCCGGGCGAGGCGAGGCCTATGCGCGTTGTGTTAGCTCAGACACTCGGAGAAAAACGGCAAGAGGGAGGGAAGGGAAGGGAAGGTGTATAAACTCAAAAAAACGCACCAGAAAACCTTCCCGCTCCCCTCCCCACCACCGGCGACGCAGGCGTGTACGAGTAC